TGTTTCTTTGGGCACCAGGTTGAGGCCACTTTTTGCTGGGAAATGGAAACAAAGGCCTTGAGCTTCATATTGCGCGTGAGTCAGTACAGGGAGAGAGCCCGTGGGGGGCAGCGTGCCTGTCACAGCTTAGTTCTGTATTAGCTGGAGTTTCCCAACCACTGATGCATAACATGGCACTAATGCAGCCAGAGGGAGATGGATGTACAACTCCCCAGGAGGGACCAAGGCTTTGAGGATGTCAGTCCCACAGCAGCAGTCACCTGTCTGAGGGGGAACATCAGGATTAAGGGCAGGAATGTTGAAGTGCAGCATGGCTCTGTCCCCAGCCCAGCATCTGGCCAAGCAGGTCTGCTCTGGGGGAGTCATGTTCACCATCTCCCAGCTCTGACAGAGCTCAGTAGTCAGTCTTCTCCTGGCTCCCACCCCCTCCATCACTTCACTCCTGGGTCTACCTCCAGGCAGTTCATTGAGCTCAGGGAATGCTTTACAAGAGTGAAAACTAAACATTGATGTTGCTTTTCCACTGGCAATTTGCATTTCTAATATCTCTCAAGTCTGATGTGGTTGTGTTGTGTTTTTGAGCTTCCCCACAGAGCAGCAGTTTTGACCTGTGTATAGTCCCGTATTTCAGAGATGGGTTTTATTGGCCTTTTAAATTTTCTTAATTTAAAAAAATTGTCACATCCGCAAAAGTAAAAAGGTCCAAGAATTGTAAAGCAGCTCCATTCCTAAGTGAAACTAATCACTTGATGAATGCAGGTCTTGAGTGACCTCAGGCTGGGTAATGGGTCATGGGCACAGCAGGAGAAGCACAGGATGGCATTTGAGAGACTAAAATAGTTTACTGGCCTGAATGTCAGCATAAAACTATGGAAGATACCTTAAGACAGGTACAAAAAGCTAAAAAAGGAATCTTCATTATCCAGTGAAAGTCAGTAGCAAGGAAAATCAAGTGATTATGTGTTCACCCTGACAAATGATCTAAGCATTTTTAAGATTTCTGGAAGCACCTCCTGACTTAGAGAAACTAGACTGCAGCTCAGTAAGTGACTAGTTCATCTTGTGGGGGGAAACTTCTGACAAAATTCATGGAAAAATGAAAAAACAGAAAAATGTTGTTATAAAACATTTCTTCACAGTTGAGCTTGTATTGTGAATAGAGATTAAGGTCATACATATTAGATTGGTACTACCTTTTTGAGAAAAGTTCTTCCAGAAGCTTCATATTGCCTTTAGACCAAGTAAAGCCTCTCAACTTTTTAGAAGAAAAAAGAATTAAAGTGATAAATCAGTCACTAAAGAATCTCCTGTTTTGAGTGATGTGTGAGTGATGTCTTTAATTTGATTGTCTTCTGGTGATCAGTAATAATGAGGGAGGTGGTTCATGTCCCCACTTACCAACACCACTGGTGTCCTTTTTTTTTCCTGAAGGAAATGCTAGAATTTTACTGTTTGGGTGCTTTGGATGAGAAGTGTACTGAGAACAAATTGTAAAGGTTTTAATTGGCTTATTCCTTCTCATGGTGCTGCTTGATTACAACAAACACATTGTGGCACTAAAAAAAGGACTAGGGCTTTATAATTCAAGTTTTAATGTTAAATCAAAAGCATCTTCCTGGCTTTCACACTTTCTAGCAAGACAGAATTTTAAAATCACAATATTGGCCTCTGCCAAAATCACATCAAAATGCAACTCAAATCAATGGCAATATTATATAACATAAATAATGTGTTTAAAACTATTTATCAGTAAAGACATAACACTCTTTGTTGCACAGAAAGAGCAAGAAATGGCTTGTCAACCAGTCCTGCTTCTTTAAAATGCAGACAAATAATATCCTTTAAATGTGAACTTTAATTTCACAGGGAGAACTTGCATGCTTTCTGTTAAAGCTAATAAGGGAAGTGTTTCATTCCAACAATTTAATGTTAGTACTGTCAAAGTCGTTCATTATTCTGGACTCATGGACTGCTTTTGTAGAAAAGGATTAAAGGATTTTGAAATGAGGTGAAAATGCTCTTATTTCTCTTTTGAGTGAGTCCTTTATTTTAGTATCTATAAACGAAGTTCTCTCTTCTCCAAATCCTTTCTCCGTAGGAGGAATCAGCAGGGACATTGTGACTTATTTGAAAGTTAAGAGGCTGAAAAGCTTTAGAGAAGGCATTGTAATCTGTTATAAAACATGTTCAGGACCTAGGCATAGATTTGGAGCGTTGGTAGCTCTCCAGCTCATAGGAGGGAAGCATGAGATGATTAGATTACTCACAAAGTGTTAATCCTGCAGCAACGAGGAAACCTAAAAAAAAATTTAAAAAAAATTAAAAATCCTTCTGTTTACACCAGATTAACTAGTACAAAGGGGCAGCCATCTCCTTTCACAGTTGCTTTGAGATGTATAATCTCTATCCTTTTGACTCTGCCGAAATTCACATACGGAAAATGTTATCATTACAAATAAAAAACCTGTTTTAGTTGCAAAGCTTTCTCACCTCGTCAAGAAACCAGTGCTGTTAGCTTTCTGCTAAAGTATGATGACACCGGGAAAAACATGAGGAAGCAAGCTTGCAATGAATCACATCTTTTGTTTCCCCAAGCTGCCAGATCAGCATTCATAACTGGCTATCTTAACTCACACAGAGCATTCAAAGATAGGTGACTCTCTTTTTTTTTTACCTTATAACTCTGTCTGAATATTAAGAACTGGGTTTACTTGGCTTCCAAGATGACAAGTTTAGCATTTTGAGCTAGTGCAGCTGAGGTAGTTAGTAAGGATCTTCAAAGCCCTAGAACAATGTATTTAAGGACTCCCAGTGCTGTGAGTCCCCTAGTGGTGATGGTGCTGCAATAGTTTTTTGTGGACAGCTTGGAGAACACTGAATTTACTGGGCAGGAGAGCATCCTTTTTGGTCAACACCTCCTGCTAAGCCAGTTCCAACCCAGCCATGCAGTTTTGTCCTTCATAGTGACTGTGACTCTGTGCTATTGACTGAAATCCTACCCTGTCAGATTCTGTAGAAACTCAGTGGACAAAAGTGAATGAAATTCAGCAAGCAGAAGACTTAATATTCTGATGCAGTTTACATGAGAGCAAGTATTTCCTGCCCACAAAGAACCCAGGCTCTTAAAATGACAAAGAATTGCAGGTTTGGGAGAGAAATTATCCTACATTCAGATTCATCACTGTGCCAGCAGTGAAGGTCTGGCCAGAGGGTCAGGTCTTGGACAGGCATCATAGCAGAACTCTTGGTGGCAACATTATGAGAATTCAGAAACCCTGTACTTCACAGACAGACCAAAGCATCCTTCCCATTGTTTGTGCTCTGGATGCTTGTGTTTCATCAGAGTCATCTGTGTACCACATGGAAGGCTGTTTAAAAAAAAAAACAGAAAAGGATTTTTGCCCTTGTCACATGCTAGTGATATTTGTAGAATGGTGAATATTGGAACTAATCAGCCTCCTGGGCTCCTGGGAACCATAGTTAGGCTTGGGATATTACTGTGCAAATAGATATTAAAGGACTAATATTCTTACATTATCTGTAAACATCTCTCCTGCATCTATTTGCTGAGACAGAATGCCAAAATAAATAGACTTCTGTTCCATGATAAGCTTTTTCTTCAGTTTTCTTCTGTAAAGCAGTTAATGTAACTTTAAGGGTTCACAGTTTGAATACGATAGGCTTCATTGATTTTTATTTTTAATTTCCCACTGCTGGTGTTTGCTACTAAGCACTTTCCAGCGATGACAGACAAGTAAACTCTATCATGATGTTCTGCTTTTCATGAAGTGAATGTACCCTTTTATCGGTATACTGAAATTTAAAAAGTCTGGATTCAGACTGGAAACAGGTAGTTGAACCCCCAGGCTCAACATGTTTGTTACTGAGTATCTCCTGAGGTTTGGTGCTGAGTAAGAACTACATTTCTAATCTGTCAGTAGGTGAGAAAACAAAACAAAAATTGTGCATTGTGCATTGTCACTTGCCTTGCCCTTTACAAAGACAAGTCCAGAGTCCCTGAAGGAAAATTTAAAGGTGACAGTGATACTGTCATTTCGTTTTTCAATGGTGTTAAATCATTTAAATATGTTGATGCCTGGAAATGCTGAGAGTCCGGCCCTCCTGGTGGTGACATCATTTCTTTAGGGGCTCATATATTGACACTGGGCACTGACATTAGCCTTTTGTTCTCCTAAATCTGCTGTTAAGAAAAAAATCAGCTTTAATTTATAGGTGGACCCCTAGGATCCCCCCCAGTGACATCCTCATTAGGAAATGTCCAGATCTGTGGTGGGTTACCCTGAGGTTGTTTTTGCCTGGGAATGTGGGACAGGTTCTCTCCATGCACTGCTGAAGGAACAGGTGAAGCAAGTTGCCACATGCCACACTGGAAAGAATACAGAGCTTTCCCATATTTCATGGCTTTATAAAGTACCTGAGCTCTCGGGACAAGTCTGTTAAGATGAATCACTGTTGTCAATGATGCTTCCTGTGGAAAGTGAGAAAGCAAACTGGGACTCATTCTGCTTTGAGGTTCTCTATTAGGCTTTGTCTACTCTATTTTCCCCAGATAAAAGCAATGATGTATTTTTATGTAAATGGAGGGTTTTTGTGGCACATTGATGGGCTTGTTCTTACAAGTATCTCATTGTATCTGTAAATCTGTGTAAATGAAGGCTAATTTTAAGTCCTGTGCTATTCAGATGCTTGTTTGTATTTTTTAAGAGGCTGCAGCATGAGCATTATCATGTTGAAGGGGAGACCACCTCATCTGATAGTGCCAAAACCAAATAAACACTTGAGTACTATGAAGAAGATATTTACTTATGGCTTAACCTGTTGGGTTTTTCTTTCCTTAGTGTACCAGACACTTGTAAAGTACAAACAATAAAGAAGTATTCAGAAATTAATAGGTTTGTTACCTGAGGCCTAAAAGATTTTTTTCCCACATTATTTGTTGTAGAATCATTCCAAATATGTAGTTTATTTTTCTGTTTTAGGCTTCTAAGGACCCAGTCTCTGGATTGGTACTATAATAATGTCAAAAGCCGCTTTAAGTGTTTTGGAAGTGCCAAGGTCCTGAAGAACTTGTACAAGAAGCATAGACTGGAGAGTGGACTTTGTCCTGATGCAATAGGTAAGAACAGCTGTTTTGATTTCTTATAATATTTATTCTTATCTATTTTAACACAGAAGCTGAGACAATGGAAATTCTGAGATTATTTCAAGAAAGTTTTTTTAATGCAATTTTCTTGTTTGCAAAAGAAATACCTCAGTGGAGAGAGAAAAGGATGAAGTGTATAGAGAGCTGTTTAAAAATTCAAACTATGTTTAATCTTAAATATGTCACTGATTCAGAAGAAGTGTCTATAAAGTAAATTGCAGTTTGTATTCTAGCTTGTGTCCCCAAATTTATCACAGTTCTGAGTAGTCAAAGAATGAGAAAATAATTTGGCATTCAACCTTTGACCATTGGCATATTTCTGTGGTGTCTGAAGCAAAACTTGATGAACATGAGATACATTCAGTATCCAAGTTGACCAAAACTGACATTTCCTTACTTAGAGTTTTGCATGCTTAAGGGTCTGAAACTGGCCACATTTTATTTTTGTATCAATGTTTGTAAATAGGTAAAAGATACTGATAAAGTATTGGCATCAACCTTTTAAGCAAAGACACAGTTCACCCGTAACTATCCTGTTCTAATGCCCCACCCCATAAGAAGAGTGATTGCAGTCAGAAAATGTCTTTGAAGAAGTGGAGCTTGGTATCATACTGGTAACTTCAGCAAATTACTTAGAAAACAAGTAGCTGAATATTTGACATTTCACTGGATTCATTGGACCAGATAATTTACTCCTATAATTCTTTCAAAATTTGTATGGAGACTACAGTCTACAGTCCTTTGTCTTTCTCTGAAAATATATAGGATGATAAGTAGACTTTCTAGTTCTGAGAGGAAATTTTAGGTTTTTATTATGAAAATTGACACAAAAGGTTCTAGGGAGAAGCAACCTATTTACTAAATTGTGATTTATTAGTGTTTTTCCTTTTTGGGTATCATTTTCATATTTCATGAGAAGATTCCTTAACAACTGAGACCAAATACAAATGAGGACAAGCAGATCTTGTTTCAGTTAGGGCAGAAGTGGGACAGTGGAAGTAAAAACGGTGGCCAGGGATGCTTCTGAACTTTTATATTATGCGTTGTCTTTTCTTAACCACAGTCTCAGTGAATGGGTACTTGAATGGAAGTGTGAATGATGCAATGATGAGTTGCAGTGGCATGTGCACTCTTGGTGAGACCTTTCTAAGGAAGGCCTTTGAGTCTAAATGTCATTGCTAACTTTCTTCTGCTGTCCCTGGGACTGTTAGGTAAACCTTTTGTTCCCTTTGAAGATAAATACTAGTATAGGTGTCTGGGTTTTGCTTTATTTATACAGCATTGCCCTTTAAAAAACTGAATCTATTTCTACCCCAAATGTCATAGTTAAGTCAAATTCCGTGTACTTAACTTCTGTCATGTATGTTTTATGCCTAGTAGCTTCTTCATCTTTTTTTACAGTAGTAATATTTTTTTTTCCTATTCAAAATGAATGAGAAGTCTTTGATATAAAAGAAGTCATGTTTTGTAGAAAAACTGCTGCAGTCATGATTTATCAAACAGCAACAGTTAGGAGGAATTTTCCAGTTATCCTTCATTGTGTGCAGTGTCACCATATCTTAAGTGAATATTCTAATCTAATAATGCCTCTGTTGTTAATGTTCTTCTCATAGAAACACATGATTCTGTCTTTCTTTTTAGCAGAAGGAAGTTTGTATGAAGGAAGCTTTGAGAATGAAGGAAGCATTTGTGGCAGTGACTCTACCTTCTACCAACAGACAGAAGGTATGCTGCTAAAATCTCATTTGATTAAAAAGCATTCCTTACACTTTGAATTACTGGACAAGTAGCTTAGAGTGCTGGTAAGTCTTGTCCAGAGATCCAGCAATATTTTGGGTGAACCCCTCAGCAAGAAGTATTTCGTGTACCATGCTGGGACATCTTGCTTCAGCATTGCACCAACTACCTGCCAATTCTAGTGTGACTTTCTTAATGTTCAGTTTTCGTTACTTCTGTCCCATTTCCTTTCCTATGCTCTTTTTTTTTTCATTATCTTTCTTAAATTTTGTTGTTCCTGCTTATAGGAACGTCACAAATTTTCTTTCAATTATTTCCTCCAAACTATTTTGTTACAGTTTAAAATAAGCAACATAAAAAATACCATGTTTTATGGTATCTAAGATTTACATTTAAGTGGAAACTTAGAGATTGCAACAAATTTCTCTGTCCTAAGTTTTTTATTTTACTGTGCATATTTATGGATTGAGGAAATAACTTTTTCATGAACAATTTAAGATTTTAATTTGTGTCCAGAATATGAGTCTAAATTTTGAAGCTCATTATGCAAAATGCCCACGTGTATATGGAGAACATGGTGGTTTTATCTTATTCTTCATCTAGGACACAGCATGATGGATACCCTTGCTGTGGCCTTACGTGTTGCAGAGGAAGCAGTGGAAGAAGCTATTTCTAAGGCAGAGACCTACAGTGACAGCCTGGTAACACTTTCAACAAAAAAAAAAAAACAAACAAAAAAAACCAAAAAAAAAAGTATTAATTTAACTAGAACAATCATGTTTGTTTTAATCTGAGTAGTGGTACAAACCAAGTAGATGAAAACATGATGAAGTAGTGACTATCTCATGATATATCTGAGTTGGGCATGTTTTTTATGAACTGGTATCGAAGATTCACATTGCATTTCAGAAGGTGACGTGCACTTTAAGTGCCTGTAATTTCTTCCCACAGTGCCAATTGGGCATATTACCCATTTCCCAATCTATACATTTTCTGTGGGAAGGCTGTTTTTATGTGATTCTAGCAAATACAGATATCCCTTTTCATGCAGGACAAGCAGAATGAAGCTTGTTACTTGCAGGAGCACAAGGAGGACCTCATAGAAGAGCTGGCCACAACCATTGTGCAGAAGGTATGGTTTTTTCCCCTATGTTTAATAGCCAGAAGACAGGGGTTTAGAGCTCAAACACTGCTAACAACAAAAATATGACACCAATGTAGAAAGCAAAGTAAATGAACTATGACAGTGTAGGCTTCATCAGCTATGTCTGACAGAGGTCAGTTTATAAGATCAATCCAATGCCTACCCTGATGTCCTACATGTTCAGAGCTCCCTGAGGTTTGTGATGTTCTTTCTTGTAAGGGAATGTCCTTGCTTGATGGAATTTTACATGTGTTTCACTTCCCCACAGGCATAAAGTTTTCTAATGTCAAGAGGTATAGCTCTCAACCATACACATCACTTCCTAAAAGATAAACTTTGCCAGTGTAAAGAGGTATGACTTCTGACCATACCCTCTACTGAGCCCTCCATCTGCAACATGTTCAAAGAAAACAATATCAATCGATAACACAGAATTCTGTTAATGAAGCTGTTAGAGAGACACTCAAAAAATCACAGAACCCCTGGCATGTCTGAATTCTGTGGCTTCTTACATAAAGCTCATTCTTCTCGTTGCAAAGCTCATGGTTGGCAGAATGAAAGTGGAGAGCTAGTGGGAAAAAATACCCTTTGAATTTGTCTGGACAGTTTGGAGTAAGGCAAGATGAGCATGAACAGTGCACTGTTAAGGTCCTGTGGTCAATAAAGTAACCACTCTGCTAAGTTAGTCTCCTTACACATGAAATAAGCTAGGTGCCACATCTTTGCATAGGCTGTGGCATTTAGCAGTGTATGGATCACACAGCAGAGGAGGAACATGTTGTTTATAAGGCTATGAAGACAAGCCAGAAAAGCAGCAGATCACTGGAAAATAATCTGCCTTCTTTTTTAATGGTGATGTTAGACTATAAAGTCTGTTTATCAGGTGTTTCATAGTCCAGAGCCTCTCTCAGCCAAGCTTGAATTGCTGCTTTTGTCAAGAGCTGCCTAACAAGATCTTTTATGCCATAGAATAACGTTCTGTAGGTATTTTATACTTCAGTTGTGGAAATGAAATGTAGCAGGATATAATCTGTCAGTGTAGGGAGACATGAGCTCTCTCAAGATGGTGAAGATTTTCAAAAATAAAAATAGTGCCTAGAGACCTTAGACCTCATTGTTCTCACTAGAATGTGTCTGCATGTCGTGGGAGCCTTTGAAATTCCCCTTATATCTAGTATTTTATGTCTCTTGGCAAAAAGTCGTGTCTGAGAAAATACTTGACACTTAGATGCTGCTGAAGTGTTACTGTAGCAACAGGTTTCTATGTTTATGTAATTCACCTCTGGTATTCCTACAGGCACTGTTATATATTGCATCGATGCTTATGTGCTTGCAAGAGGTAGGACTTCAGATGAGAAGTAATTACATGAGCTGGAGCTAGAGCAAAGGGAAAGTCCAATGTTTTTTCCTGGGGAGCTTGCCTCGAGATGGGGTTCATCTAGATCTCCTCCATATGGCCCAGACAGTATTTCCCGAGCAGCATTTTTCTGTCCTCTCCCACCCCGTTTCTCCCCTCCCCTGCAGATTATAAAGAAGCAGAAAAGCAAACCCGAGCAGGCCGAGGCTGACTTGGAATGGCCTCCGTCGCGGAGCAGTGGCCTGGCGTCCGGCGCTGTGTCAGACCAGAGCATGCTGACGTTCCCAGGGAGCCGCAGGGGGTCCTACACCTTGTGGGTGAGTGCCACAGCACAATGATCCGTGTTTTCTGGGGCACAGAAGCAGCAGCTTGCAGTCATGGATAAGTGTACTCGCTGCCTGGATAGGTACATAGAGACTTGCAGAGGAGCATTAATTCTGTGTCTGAACAAGCTGTCACTCAGTTGCATGCTTTCCTAACATCCCATGGGCCATGGAGGTACGTCACAGACATGGTGTTTTTTCGGTTGACTGTGTCGGGGAGGACTAAGTTTGTGATAGGAGCAGTCTCACTGCTTGATTTGAATGCTAACAGGACTCAATGCCTTAGTGTTTATTCCTCAGAACTGTTTTTCTGCTCACTTAACTTTTATGTAGGTCTTTGCTGAGTGCTATGTTTTCTTTTGTATAAAGTTAGGTTTCTGTAATGTTTCTTTTTCTCCTTAACCATCTTACAAATAACTGACACCACCAGCAACAAGAAAAGTAAACTCAGCTGCAGAGCACCATTTATGTCTTGCACTAAGGAGTGTTTCCTGCTTCCACTTATTTCTCAGCACAATGTCTTTATCTCCTGCTATAAAGATGAAGAAAATCTGATAAGCTGCATTAGCAAGAGTTTTAAAAGAACAGGAAGTAAAAAGAAGTGAAAATAAGCTGTAGGCTTGGACAAGCATTTTGACAATCAGAGAGGGAAGGCAGTGACAGATGAGTTAGTTCCAGTGAGTTTTGACACTGTGGTTTAAGCTGCTGCTCCCAAGTGTCCTGCTACTGTTCCAGTAACCACCTCTCCCCCGCTAAGCAGAACCACCAGAACTGAACGTGGGCTATGTCCTAGTTCCCAGCTAAGTTTGCTCACTTACACTCCCAGTGAGAACAGATTTATGCCAGAATATTGACTGTGGGCCAGAGTTGCTGAGATACAGACTCGCATCCTAGTCTTCTACCTATTAGCAAAATGAAGGGGTACTGAAGTAATGTGCCACTGTTAATAAGTGACCACATTTATGGTGAGCATGATTTAAGCACTTTGCTGTGTCGCTCCTAGGCAAGTTGTTTGTGGATATAAAAGCCAGGAGAGAGAGAGTTAATTCTGTCTCTGACTCAAACGAGTTTTCTTTCTTAAGGACAGGATTCAGATAAATATGCAGTTCAAATCCTCAGTCATTATATCAGAAGCCTGTTCTGCATTTGAAGAGTTAACTTTGACCTCAACACATTTTGAAATTCTCTTCTGAAGTAACAATTTAGTCCTGATTTTTTTTGCCAGAGGGAGGCTCACTGGTTTTAGTAATAGTAGACTTTTTGAAAAACACTGGAGAAGCAGAGATGTCACACTAAGGTACAAACAACTTCAAAACCTCTGTAGCCATCAGTCAGTACTAGAGATCCAGATGTGTACAGTATTTTATAAGAACACTACCTCTGTACAGGGTCTTTTGCCACATTTTTCACCATTTGTTCCAATTATCTTCCCACAGTGCTTTAAGGAGCATGAGTAAATTTGGCCATCTGCTGTGACTTGTTTCATCTCTCCCATAAATTTAGTTCCTGCCTTTTGCTTTGCTAGGGTTGTGTAATCTAACTCTCTTCTCCTCTGAAGTGTGTATATATTTATTTTTGCTTTGCTCTGAATAGAGGAGAATTTGATTAGTATGACCAGACACCCTTGTAAAGGAAGTATAGCTCCAGTCATTCCCATAGCTAAGATAGTTGCACTTGTGTTAGGCTGTTAGATAGCACAATTAAAATCACAGAACCTTGGCCTGCTGGAAAGTCTACTGAAAGGCAATTTGTGCAGAGCAAATGCAGAGCACTCAGAGCTTGCTTGATTCGCATCAGCAGTGCTGAAACAACTCAAATTCCTTCTCCTGAACTTGCGTTCCATTCCACTTTGTTTTATTCCTTCTCCTGAACTTGCGTTCCATTCCACTTTGTTTTCATTCAGCAACAAATGGGAAGCGTGCATCTGTCAGTAGATTTGCAGGACTAGACCACATCACTTTATTTTCTGTATATCGTGTGAGAAAGTTATCCTTTCTGCCAAAAGAATTGCAATTTTTTTTTCTTCCCAAAATGGAACCTAGCTTCTACAGAAGCTGGCAGAGAGGGCTATGCCCATTCCAGCAAAATCTCCTTACTGCCTCCCAGGAACTTGAGTCCAAGTCTGTAACAGCAAATCTTGGATTCCACTACAATAAGTGAAGTTTTCTTAGTTCCTAACTGATGACATTATGTTGACAAAAAAACCCCAAACTCTTGATCTGTGTATATACACCCTAGCATTGATCTGTGTGTGATGGCTTAGTTTAGGCAGAGATCTGCCTGTAATGATTAAAACCTTTTAATATTAGTACATGCCACAGCTAACAAGGGCTAATCTGCTGCAATAGATTTATTAGCACTGGTTCCTAGTTTAACCAAGGTTTTTGTAGACAGACACAGTGGCCACAACAATCCCAATGGAAGGAAGAAGAAAAACAAGTTTTCATTTTTTTTTCTAGAAAAGCTATCCAAGGAGACTATTACTGTGTCAGAGTTACATACGTGAACGTGTTTACATAATAAATAATAAAGGTTATTTCACTAAAATTTACCCTGTCCAAGTATTTCTTTGGTACCAGGCTAACAAATTAGCAGAGGCAGGATAGATTAAATAAAAGGAAAGAAGAAACATGATTAACAGAAAGACAGACATGAAGGGAGAAGGGAGCCAAGGATAGCAAATTTTAAGGCAGTCATAATCTCATCATTTAAAACTTAAAATTTATCTTACAGGAAATATTTTTCTTGTCTTCTGTGCAGAAGATAATACATATGCTTTTGCTAGAACAATGAAACTAATAATATATAACACAGAACAATTTCATGCTGTAACACTGGCCTTTAGAAACCCATGTTTATTGTTGCATTGCTTTTTATTACCAAAATCACTTCTTACAGAGTCAGGAGAGCTGTAATAATCCCAGATATCACCTTGTGGTTTCATCTGCCAAGCAATTTTTCTTTTTATCACAGCTAGCTGTGTGCAGCTCATCCATATCAGCCAGAAACTTCCAGTGAGTCTCTGGAAGCCCTGCATTACCTCCCTGCTCATCCAAAACCCCTTGCTTTGAAAAAGTAATTAAATAAGTTAAAGTTCCTCACTTCCCCCCTCCAGACTATAGTATTGATTGTTTAACTGCAGTACTACAGTGTGCTAGTAGCTATAGACATTTCTTCTTTTTTTCTCCTCTAAGATTTCTTTGAGATCCCTTGCCCAGGCTAAAATTAGTGAAACAGGGCTGAATATTTTACTTCTTCGTCTCATAAAAAGAGATGGATGGCACCATCTGTTTCTCATTACCAATAAGCAAAGGCTGTGCAGTGTTGGGATAGGAGGAGTGCAGAGCAGTGGGTGGATGCTTCTCTGCTCTCTCACTCCAGTTCACCCACCATACATCACTGCCAGCCAGAGAGCAAAAGACCAGTTGGCAAATTGTATGGCATTTAAACATTGATGGAGTGAAGGCACCCTGGTGTGTTTTAAGTGCTGTATTAGTGGTCTTTATTTTATAGCATAAAGATTGCATATATAAACAGAAGCTCATCCATAATTTATAGTATATAAAACAGCTAGGGATATAGAGAAAAGGAGGATTTCATTAAATACACATTATGATGCACCTCAGGGGAAGCAGAAATATACTGGTTAAGCTAATTATAAGGTCCACAGTGTACTGACAGTTGTTTATTTTTTTCCTTTTTATTTTTTTTCTCCATTTGATTTGTTTTAAAGAGGAGGAAGTTTCCACAAGCTTGAGGTCTAGCACTGCTTTGGCAATCACTGGAGGTTTTGCAGGTGCTCTGTACCTTTTTAGGTTTGTCTCAAACAAAAGTGCTTGAAGAAAATCTTTTTGAGGAGGAATCCTGTTTAGCAGTCATGCAGCACAGTGGGAGAGAGATTTCAGATGAGGGAGGCATAGCACTGTAGGTACTGGCTGACATCAGTTCCTACCTGTCAATGACTGCATCAGAAACATCATATTTATATCTAATAAATAAATAAATGTGTCATGTCAGAGGGAAGATGGAGCTTTTAACTTTTATACAATAGCAGGCATCAGAAGGTTGCATGGCATGTATTGATGGGACCCACTTCCAATGAGGCAAGTGTGCATTCATCTAAAAGCCCGTCAGCTGGATCCCAATGGGTTATTTGCTGTATTGTTTCCTTTGAAAGAAGCCAACTGCAGCACCATCTTCTTTGCACAGAATAGGAAAGAACAGTGTATTTTGAGATGGAAAAGCACTTGGTGCTCTAAAAATAATGTGTCTTTTTCATTAATATTTATTATTTGAAGATCCAACTTTCTCTAAATGCTTTCCAGGTTACAGATAATACTGGCATCTGCTGATTCCTCAGGTGAAACTGTAACATTGTAATCTCACTGCAAAAAAAATCAGGATTTCAGATTAAGAAGGCTCTGTCATGGTAGTCTGGTTGATTTCCCTCCTTCCACTGCTGCAGAAGGATAGTATACAACTACTCTGTAATTATGACTCAGCAACCAGTGCCAGATTTTAAGGCTTGGGCCTCTAAATAATCAGTGCAAGGCTAATCATGACAGGATTGTCCTTTTAAAGTTGTTTGTGTTGCTTGAGTTTGTAATTCTTCTTGAGATGTATCTCTAGCATAAGATTTCTGAATTCTGGTTTCACAGTCCTACTATCCATGCACTTGGTAAACTTCCAAGACAGTTTTGGATGCTAGGTACATGATTGGGCCCATGCAGGCCTACATTCAGCTGCATTGCACTTACTGTCAGCAAACCAAGATAGGTTTTAAGGCATGAAAGGGAGTAGGAGAAAGGACAGAGAAAGGTGATCATTGTATAATGTCATTTTCCAAATAATTAAGCTCATATATTGTTCTTTCAACTTTATTTTGTTTTAAATATTCTATTGTAATACATTCCTGAGTTTTGCAGAATTTTCAGGTCTAACTTAGAACCTGTGATGCTCAGAGCTAGGCTGCCTGACAAACCTTATTTTATTCT